ACTAGTGAAGCGCTTGATATTGGTGCTTTCTGTGTCCCCTATTAACATAATATGTAAATAATGACTTAAACAATGAATAGCAGGATACCAGATTGCATGGATTCCCATTGAAATTACATTTTTGAATGAACTATCCCTTTAATGAAGTGTTCATGGAATAATCTTCAAATCTAAACATATTGGTCATGTTTTAGATAGATTGAAAGAAGCGGAGCACATAATACCCATATTTGCCAGAATGAAGCTTTACAACAGCCATCTGCACTTTATTCATAACGCACTGTTGTAATTATACACACTCCGAGCATTTTAATTAAGTGATTCAGATACATTTGCAGCAATGGGGTCAAGACATGTCTTGTTAATTTCAGTCGGTCATACATGGCTAAAAATACAACTATGAGTTATTCATGTAAGAGATTCATGCAAAAATAAAAATATCATTGAAACACCCAATATGATACAGATCCTTCACATAGCATAAGCATAGCTTTATAGATGTATCCGTCAGTCTGCAAACTTTTCCATTGGTTAATCAGTAGAGACTGAACTGAAAAAAGAAGCACATTTTAACATACTTTTTAAAAGATTTCGGGCATGCTATTGGAAATACTTGAAAATGTATTAAAGTTTAAATGTATATTAAATGCAATTGGTTGAACTTTAGAGTGCTTTTTTGACCCACTTCATAATTATTTTGTGTTTGAAATATGATTAAAGTAGACTGTCGAATGGACTAACAAGCATTTGTGACTTTACCAAAGTATACGTAAGTTATGCATTTATATATATATTTGTTATTACACATTTATGATGAAGTTGCAATTTAATACATTTAACATATATTAACTATTAATGTAGTTAATAATCCATCAAGCAGGCTCGGATAACCCCACTGCTCAAAAAACCTACATTAAACACTAATCCATCAAAACACTAAAACACTAAACCAGTCGCTTTGGATAAAAGCGTCTGCTAAATGACTAAATGTAAATGTAAATGTAATGTACAGTAATATTGAATAACACACTACAGTTAAAATTATAATCAAGTACCCCACATGTGCTTAAGTATGTTAGTCAGCACATCAAAATAAGTGTACTTCTTTAAAGCATGACAAAATATTATTAAAACATAATGATTTAAAATATACTTTAAAGAAAAATGTTTAACTGGAAATTATTACAATGTGCACACTTTTTACTTAAGTGTGTCAGGAAACAATCATGAAAGTGTACACTTAAGGGTCTTTTTATTGCATAAATATGATATTATCTACAATTACTTTTTTTAATAGACTTGTAAAATTACTACAAGTGCACATTCAGTGCAATTAAGTGCACTTTTCACAAGGCCACAAATGCAATGCATTGCAAACATGCAGCCGTATTGTATGCCATTCAAAGAATCTCAGTACTCAAGGGGGCGATAGAGACGCTTTCAAATGTGCCATTAAACTGAATGTGCTATTATTCAGCAGCCAGATAAGCATGTGTACAGTGTAGCAAACTGTGACTAACTTGCTCAGCAAGATTCAGACTGTTGCTCCAGCATGACAGTAGTCAACCTGAAAGAGAAAAACAGCCGTAGAAAACAATTTATGCCAGGATTTTTCAGTTCTGCTCCGAAGTTCACTGTCCTGCAGCGTTTAACACAAAAAAAATATCAAGACATCAGCTAGGATTGCGATACTGCATTGCATAGAGAACTCAGCAATATTGGGTTTCTCTCCAGTTTATTCCAAAAAATATACAATTTTATATATTACACTACAAAAGACATTTACACAACAAAACACACAGCAGAAGGTAATAGACAAATAATTATCACATAGAAACTACTTTTTTTTCCCTGTGCTTTTCTTTCTTTTTCACAGCCCGCCAATACCATGCACATCATTTTGTATTAGTATAAATGTTTGGAAATGATTTGATGCACTCAACATCAATGCTTTATGCTAAAGTCATTGTTTTCAATGTGTTTTTGGAGGATGGTAGGCTAATTTAACAAATATCAAATAGGTTATAAGGGTAAATTGTGTTACCTTGTGCTTGCTGTTATTCAGAAAAACTGAACTAAAAGGTTCTTAATTGCAGCTCCATTTGACAAGTCCATGTGTGATTATATGCATTAGATGCATTTTGTGTAACCACAATCATACATGTCAAATGAAAGGCATACCTCTTCTATGTTTATGACTACAGATTAAAATCAACTCCATCACTTCTGATGAAAATATGTGTCCATAATCCATAATTACGCTTCATCCAGTGAAAAAGCCCATCTCCTGTTGTCTCTCACATCAAAATCCACCCACATATTTGTTTTGATCGGTTTTTGACTGTTTGTAAACGGTGCTTGATCTGTGCAGATTTCTCTCCTGATTCAGCAGAAAAGCATTATTATGGAACGGTTAAAAACTATTAAAAGCATCTTGATGGATTTGTTTCTTACAAACATGCAGCTGTTAACTGATGGACTGGAGTGGTGTGAATTACTTGTGGATTATTGTGATGTTTTTATCAGCTGTTTTGACTCACATTCTGACGGCACCCATTCACTGCAGAGCATCCACTGCTGAGCAAGTGATGTAATGCTACATTTCTCCAAATCTGTTCTAATGAAAAAACAAACACATCTACATATTTTATGGCCTGAGGTTGAGTAAATTTTCTGCAAATTTTCATTTTTGGCTGAAATATTCCTTTAATCTTCCTGGCCTACTTTTGTGATAACATTGGTAGTCTATTAACTGTAACAATTCACAGCTTGTCTGTACACCGAGGGACGAGTCAAAATTATTGTCTTCAGGCTGCCTCAGATGTGGCAACTTATTTTCACAGATTTTACTAATGTCTGACATACTGAACCAGCTTAAAGCGAACATGAAATTATATTCACAACCCATTTTACTTCCATAATGTGATGTATTCCACTGTATGGCGACGTATTGTTATTTGCTATTGTTGCCTAAATTGTCATTTTTGCAGCCTAGGTGACAGCCGAAAAAGAATGTTGTTTCATATGGAACAGGTTGAAGATTATAAAGAAAACAATTATTATTTGTGCACAATAAAACCCAAAATCTGAATTAAGAAAGTAAATAGGGTCCATTTCGATTTCATGTTGACTCCTAGCTGTGAAAACTGAGCGAGGCAAAATGATGGGTAGCAGAATACAGTAGAGATCACACGTCAACGGTAAAACAATTAATTTTCTAATCTAATCTAATGAAGCACTGAAAGGCAATATAAACATTTATTGACCGGACTGAATATACATGGTATGTTAGCCCACCTGTGCAGTAAAGAATATCAACCTCACATGATCATGAATGGATGCATTTGAGCTCCACTTTAACTACGCAACTGTACACTATTTACACATAAAACACCAAAACATCAGTGGAACACGAATGCATTTCCTCCGCCCCTTCACGACACATATATTGTGCAAAAGGAAAATGATTCTGTCCATTGCTTTGTCCTCTTATTGAAACAAGGAAGCAATCATTTAAAACAAAGACAAATCAACATCAAGCTCGAAATCTACTATTGCTTTGATTAACACTGCCATACATTTCCTCAGCCCGTGATATGACTTCAGTCTTACTGTCTGACATTCTGACGGCACCCATTCACTGCAGAGCATCCACTGCTGAGCAAGTGATGTAATGCTACATTTCTCCAAATCTGTTCTAATGAAAAAACAAACACATCTACATATTTTATGGCCTGAGGTTGAGTAAATTTTCTGCAAATTTTCATTTTTGGCTGAAATATTCCTTTAATCTTCCTGGCCTACTTTTGTGATAACATTGGTAGTCTATTAACTGTAACAATTCACAGCTTGTCTGTACACCGAGGGACGAGTCAAAATTATTGTCTTCAGGCTGCCTCAGATGTGGCAACTTATTTTCACAGATTTTACTAATGTCTGACATACTGAACCAGCTTAAAGCGAACATGAAATTATATTCACAACCCATTTTACTTCCATAATGTGATGTATTCCACTGTATGGCGACGTATTGTTATTTGCTATTGTTGCCTAAATTGTCATTTTTGCAGCCTAGGTGACAGCCGAAAAAGAATGTTGTTTCATATGGAACAGGTTGAAGATTATAAAGAAAACAATTATTATTTGTGCACAATAAAACCCAAAATCTGAATTAAGAAAGTAAATAGGGTCCATTTCGATTTCATGTTGACTCCTAGCTGTGAAAACTGAGCGAGGCAAAATGATGGGTAGCAGAATACAGTAGAGATCACACGTCAACGGTAAAACAATTAATTTTCTAATCTAATCTAATGAAGCACTGAAAGGCAATATAAACATTTATTGACCGGACTGAATATACATGGTATGTTAGCCCACCTGTGCAGTAAAGAATATCAACCTCACATGATCATGAATGGATGCATTTGAGCTCCACTTTAACTACGCAACTGTACACTATTTACACATAAAACACCAAAACATCAGTGGAACACGAATGCATTTCCTCCACCCCTTCACGACACATATATTGTGCAAAAGGAAAATGATTCTGTCCATTGCTTTGTCCTCTTATTGAAACAAGGAAGCAATCATTTAAAACAAAGACAAATCAACATCAAGCTCGAAATCTACTATTGCTTTGATTAACACTGCCATACATTTCCTCAGCCCGTGATATGACTTCAGTCTTACTGTCTGAATTCGCCCCAGATGAACTTGTTTTGGGGAAAAAAAACATCCGAGCTGAAAGCGACCGCAGTCTCTCGTGGAATGCCGGAGGTAATAATATTGTTGAATGAGGCCATGGAAAAATGCTATACATTCAGCCCAGAGACACCTGATCCCAAGTCAGTAGTCGTACCTGGAGATGTGCCACACTTTTCCAAAATATTCCACTCAACATTTCAGTCCAGTTCCTCCTGTCACTTTAGTTTAGAGGCTTTGCACAAACGAAACAGTATCCATCTTTTTGTCCATCTATCCAGCGGTTTTTTTTTTTTTTTTTTTCATCAGTCAAATTTTTTTTTTTTCATTAAATAGTTCCGTTCAATAAATAAGTGTCCGTAGAAAGTGCTAGGCTACTGTTGGAGGTTCCTCTGAGGCCACTCTAAGATGGGCATAGTGGTGTTCATCATTTGGACTCGCATCTCCTGAATGCTGTTCAGGATCTTTTTCTGATGGCCGGCCAAAGTGACTCCAACCCTCCTAAGATCTCTGCAAAAGAACAACAAATCAGTCTTTTATTTATTTATTTATATCATCTATCTATCTATCTATCTATCTATTTATTATTTTTTTAATAGATATAAAATGTATTTCTGTTATTCACTGATAATGATTAAACAACCTGGGGTAAGAAAAAAAAAAAAAAAAAAAAAAACTATCTAGTTTAACTGGACCAAACTTTAGTGACTTGTGAAATTTGACCTTCGAATAATGAAAGTAAAATGTTTCAATTCGGTTTTTCTCTGTAAAAGCTTCTTTTGCCACTACGTTTGTTTCTTGTTGTTACACAAAATGAAAGAAAGGATCTTGAAAAGTTTGCTTCACTAATAACATTGTTGCTGTTCATTTTCTATCTATGAAAGCTAATCGAAATTAAATCACATGTGGTTTAAACAAGTTGTTATTGTTAACTAAAACTAAAACAATTAAACACCATTTTTGTTAATTGAAATAAATCTTGAATTAATGAATGAATGGATGAGTGGGAAAAAAAGAAATTGGCCACAATTGACAACTTAAAATAAATAAATACATAAATACATAAATAAATTAAAATTAAGCACTAAAATTGCTCAAACTAAAACTAAAATAAAAATAAAGCTAAATAGAAATGTAAAAAAGAACAAAATGGCAAAGCACATAAAATTACCAAAAAAAAAACAAACAATTAATGTAAACTGAAAATATCAAAAAGCTAATTCAAAATATTAATGATTACTATAATACTATATAAATACCGTATTGACCCGAATATAAGACAATGTTTTTTTCTTGGAAATACATCTGAAAAAACGCGGTCGTCTTATATTCAGGGTCTAGACTTTGACATGTCAATAATACACCCACAACAATAGGTGGCGCCAAATACGCATAAAACGAGTGTGCCATGAAATACGTAATGTAATGCGTGTTGTAACGATCGCGAGTAAAAACAAAAGAAAAAGAAAACCTTACAGCTGCATGAGTCGTGACTGTCACATTAGCCTGATGGGACCAAACTCCCTTTGTGATTTTAAAACGTAAGACGGTACCCAGATTTGAAGACTACAGTAAGATTTAACTTCTACTGTTAATAAGATTTTGGTAGGCTACTATTAGATGAATAGCCTAAATGTCCTAATTCAGATGGGCTACCTGTTTTTTTTTTTTTCAAAAAGTGTATATTTTTTAAATATGATTGTTGGTACATTTGACCAGTTTGTACCATACTTTCAAAACAAAAATTAAAATAGGAAAAATATGCAATATGAAAATAATTGAAGACAAAATGTGTTTTATTGAGAAAAAACAAGATTTGTTTTTTAAAAAGCCTTTTTCCAAAAGGTACATCTGGAAAAAGGGGGGTCGTCTTATAATCAGGGTCGTCTTATATTCGGGCCAATACGGTAATACCAAAATAACAGTTTAAAACACACAATTACACCCAAAATGAAAACTCTCATGTTCCAAATGCAACAAGACTTTCTTTCTTCCATCGAACACAAACGCAAATATTTTGCAGAATGTCTAAGCTGCTCATTTCCATTCAACAAAACTGAATGTTGACTTTTGTGACAAAAGATCCAACATTTAAGTTGCTTAATCTTTTTGCTGAAATGTTTCATTTGATATCAAACCTGCTTTTGACAGGTCATCCTCCCCAGTCTCCATTCATTTGTAATGTATGGAAAAGACTATTAGTTCTAAAAACTTAAATTAGTGTTAAACTCTAACCTTAATTTTGTCTTTATAAGTGCAGCCTATTCTGAAAGAACATAAAGTAACATTTCAACTCTGGAAACAATTACCTAAATTACAGTACCTTATTCTGAATCTCTTTCGCATCATAAACTGTAACAGTTAGAAAGTGCATCCACATTCCCCCTGATAAAAACACTCTCAATACACTCTAAACATTACGTGAAAGGCAAAGAGGCTCCATGACCTCCACAACAGATGACTTACTCCAAGGTCATTTGAGTGACTACATCCAGAGAAGTGTATCCACTTTCCGTGAAAAGCTCAGTGTATCGACCCATTTTTATGGCCTCTAACCATTCCTCCACCGATCTGAATACACAGCCCTCAGGGCTCCCATGCTCCACTAATAAATTGGACACTCTGTGGGAGAGACAGGTACAGTGGTGAACAAATGGATGTATAAACCTGACATTACAGTTCTAGGTGAAGGCTGGATAATAAAAACGTTTACGGATCTGAGCTGACTCAAAGTATAACACACCATCTAACAGGCTTTTAGTACATGTACGATGCAAGTTTTTGCCTCAAAATATGTAAAATGATAATAACTGTGTTATAATACTATAATAACTGTGTTATTATACTGTAATAACTGTGCTATTATACAAAACATGAGCCTAAACTGGAAATCTGAGATTGTTTATTTCCTCACACAAAATTTGCAATAAAATGTTACATTAAAAACATTTTAACTGGGGTCTCAAGTCCACTATATTTGCTATTTGACAAAACATTTTAAGAATGCAGAACAAATATTAGTATGAAACTCAGCTTATAATACTGCTTTCATATGCATGTTAACTTAAGTCGTATTATACCTATAAATATTAATATAATCAGTGATCTCTTGGCCACACTTGCTAATATTATCATCCAAGGCAAATAAAGACAATTACGGCGCAATAACGCAGCCCCCAAAACATCCCCAGACTCCAAATCAATTTCATGTTAAACCTGGACATAATTGCATAACACAATTACAGATAATGAATGATTCCAACAAGTAAGAATACAGTTCTCAAATGTATTCGATACGTATAATCACAGTAATTGGAAGTCATTTGCACACTGTCACTTCTGTTTAACGCAACATTAAATCATGAAATGTGAGTGCGTATTTGTCACAAGTGTCATTAAACATTGATTTCTTGTGACAACCGTGTACCAGGGTGCTTAACCCTCGGTTATCAATGCTTCACAGACGTGACATAATTTGTGATCTCACAGTCCATGTTAATCACATGCTGTAAATAACAGCATAATTAGCATATATTCTGATGGGAACAATAAAGAACGAGAACAAAGGAACACAAATAAACCAGTAACGGCTGGTCGTCTACCTGTTTGATGGGTTAACTAGACCCTTGAGGCTGCTGGGATTGCGGATGAGTTTATCCAGTAAGCTGACAATCTCCTCGAATTTGGGCCGGCTGTTCCTGTCTTTCTGCCAGCAGTCCATCATGAGATGATAGAGAGCGGTCGGACAGTCCATGGGACCCGGCAGCCTGTAGTTCTCCTCCACCGCCTTTATCACCTGATACAACAGAAGAGATTGCAGGCACTTTACATCATGTTCCACGATAAATATATGATGTGCCTTCAGTGTCCAAACACGGATTGTTCTGCTTCATGAATTGTTGCTGAGAGCAGGTGGTGAATTCACACACTGACCTTGCCGTCTACTAGCTGCACTCAAAAAAATGAAATGTGGCTGCTGTTGGTCCAAAGAATGTAACTACGTTCAAATTAAATAATTCCCTTATGTTTGTGTATTAAAATGAAAAGAGTTGTGTTGACCAAATTAGAAAAAGTAATATTTCACATTTACACAGTTCACTTAAGTAAAGTGAATGAAATGGAGTTGAGTTGCTTCTGCAGTACCGCACTTTGGTCAGCAGGTGGAGTAATATCTGCACATGCGCAGATGTACAGCACATTCAAAGATCACGCTTCAGCGATCGGCGCAATTTTTGAATCAGATGAAGATCACAGTGCCAAACGAGGAACGTTTTCTTTATGTGAAAACACAGGTGAGATATTTTACTTTTTATGCATATATATTGAGGCTGTCATTTTATTAGAATGGTTAATCGCGCATAAACTCATGTTTAGTATGGGATTTTCATGAAGACACTTAAATAAGCTTGTTTGGTAGGTCATTCAACACATACTAAAGTTTAGGAGTTGGCAGTGTTTTATATTATTATTATTATTATTATTATTATTATTAGGTGACTCACACCTTTTTTTCCAACCTCACA